AGATAATTAAAAAAAAGTGAACAAAACATGGTAAAAGTAATACAAATTCACTTTATCAAAATAATTACGAATTTAAGGATATTTTATTACAACTACATATGCACCAAAGTGTGGAAGGGTCCAACTCCCGCAAGTCATTAGGTTGCGGGTCTTGTAGCTCCTGTTGCTGTTGCTCCTGTTGCCCCTTTACATGCCTATGAATCTATCTCCGACTGATGATTTCTTAAGAGGCCTCCAAATCATGTGCCTCCTCTTCCTCCATTGACTCATCCTCGTCATCACGTACAACCTGAGATTTCCCCTTAGTCTTTCTCCTCTTGGACGTTTCTCCTTTATTTCCTCCTTCCATGATGACCACCTGAAAAAATTGTTAGTACCATGATCGCACATTGTAATTTCATAAATTAGATCCATATTACATAAAAAAATAAAATGAGACAAAATATGTAATGCAATATTACAAGTCCGAGTAGTCATTAAAAACTAAAAATTCAAAGACAATAGTTAAAGGAGTAACTACATATTCTCCTCTTCATTACTCTTATCACTATTACCACTATCATTATCACTATCATTATTACTATCACTAGTGTCATCTAAAAATACATCGATGTCCTCTTCTTCGTCACTATCACTGGAGTCAATGCTATCTTCTTCTTCTTCTTCATCGCTTGAGATAACAAAGCCATCGTCATCATCATCATCACTATCAAGTTCATAGTCTGGAATGTCAGTTGGGTCACATAGCGTTGCATGTACTTGTGGTGAAGGAGCTTGCAAAAACTCTAAATCCACCGGAGCATCAATCACCGACCTTGCTTGAGTTCTTAATACAGCCCACCATTGAACCCGATCACGTTTAAGGCTAGGGTAATATGCATAATACACTTGAGACACTTGGTAAGATAAGACAAATGGATCATACTTGGGATATTTCTTAGTATGATTTACTTCGACAAGCTTGTATTGTTCATGAATGTTCATTCCTTTACCACAATCCATCCAATTACAACTAAACAAAATAGTCTTGTACTCTTTTTCGGGACTGGTGAAGACAAGTTCATTATGTTGTTTAAAATGCCAAAGTACTCTCCACCATCCTCACTTGAGACACACACCCCATAATTCATAGTAGAATTGTGTTTGCCATAGGACTGCGTGTGGAAATTAAAGCCACCGACAAATATCTGGTTCCAAGTTCGAACACGCTTGAAAGGCCTCATAGACAATGCTCGCAACACATCGGAACTTGGTTTCTGTTCCCTCACCTATAACCGTTACGAATACAAATGTCACACTAATTGAAATGAAATATATTGTATTATCACAAGTTAATCGATATGCAATGTTCGAAAAGTATTATCACCTTGTGATGAAACCAATCAGGGAATTCACTTTTTCATTTCTCCATGACATCTTCTCGACGCAAATAAGTTCGAGTACTAAGAATGTAGTCCTCAAACTGCCTAATAAATTAATGATACATGGTTAATCATTGCAACAATTATATTAAATTTAAGGGTTTTTCAAAAGTTTATCCTAAACATATATAACTTTCGTATTCACCAAGAATGCCGATATTTCTTAAAACGAACAAATGAGCACGTTCGAGCTCCTTGTCATCTAAATACCGAGTTTTACGTACATTTGACACACGACCCTTATCCACCGTGAACAGCTCTAGGATTTCATCGTTGTTAGCCGTGGATTCCACATCAGCATTCACATTTCGACCTAGATCTTGTGTTTTTGTGTCAACTGAGGGCTGAAAGTAATTGGAGCAGAAGTTTGATATCTCTTCAGTGAGATAAGCGTTGCATATGGAACCTTCAACACGAGCCTTATTACCAATTTTTCGTTTCAGGTGATTGAGGAACCTGTAATTATTTTTATATAGCCGTAGAAGTATAAGTAACCCTAAGCAATGAAAGAGATGAAAGTAAGAGTTGAGAAAGGGCCTTTGATTTACCTTTCTAAAGGATACATCCACCGATATTGAACAGGTCCACATAACTTGCCCTCATATGGCAAATGAATTGGTAAATGCTCCATGGAGTTGAAGAAAGATGGAGGGAAAACCTTCTCAAGCTTGCACAGGATCTCAGCTATGTTTTTTTCCAATCGCTCCATGTCGCCAACTGTAATTGTGTAGCAACATAAATCGTGAAAGAATTGGCTTATCTCTGTAATTGCATTCCTTATATGGCTAGGGAGCAATTCTCTCAAAGCAGTGGGCAACAACCTCTCCATGAACACGTGACAATCATGGATTTTCATTCCATGTAACTTACCTGCTTGCAAATCAACGCATCTGCTCAAATTGGAAGCGTAACCATCAGGAAACCGCAGCTGTTTGACCCACTCACACAAAACCTTTCTCTGAGCCTTGTCAAGAGCAAATGGAGCCTTTGACATGAATTCTTTTCCTCTATCATCCTCTTGAAGATGTAGCTGGGGCCGTTTATAGTATTTGGCAATGTCATTCCGAGCTGATGTCGTATCACAAGAAGGCTTTTTCACGTCCATTATAGTGTGAGTCAACTGATCAAAAAAGTTCTTTTCAACGTGCATGACATCTAAGTTGTGACGAACAAGCAAATGTTTCCAATATGGAAGGTCCCATAGAGTGCTTTGCTTGAACCACCCCTTTTTTTGCATTCTTGAGACGTTTCAGTGCCTCGGGGCCATCTGTTGCCTTCGGGAGGTTTTTCACACATTCCCAGAGTTCCTCTCTATAGGGAATCTTTCAAGCATTACCCTTAACTTGAACCCCACTGTGCTCATACACTAAAGTACGGTGGCGTCCAAAGGGAATGAAGACAGAGCAAAAGAGTCGCCAACAAGTTTTAGGAACTTGTAAACCGTTCACGAGGTGAAGGTTACACCCCTTAACGATCCAAGAGATCGTTAACTCCAATAGGTCTGGAACCATGACTAGTAGTTTGGGGATGAAGGTACAAATCCAACCTAAAAGAGATTGAACCTGCCCTAATAATAGGCCTCTACTTTATTCTGATCGTATTCATGTGCGCTTTCTGACTAACATGCAATCAATAGGATTAACCCTAAACCTGTTTATCTATGTTGGTTGAATATTAATGCACAAATAAAACTATTATTGGCGATCACTTGAATTATAATCAAATTAACCTAACAAGATTATTAATTATCTTATTAAGCGTGATTACAAGTACCAATTCCCTTTAAACATGCATAAAAGACGTGATCAACCAATAACAATAAATATTAAGCAACATAATAATCATAATAAAAATAATAATCAAAATCATAATAATAACAATCATAATTATCATAATCATATTAAAGCATAATAATAGTAAGATCCTAGGCATGATACTAACAAGATTAATAACAAACCATAGCATATCACTAAGCATCAAAGATCAAATATATAGCCCTAACATGATACTAACATGAATATTAGGAAAGAATATAAGAAGCATCGCAGGAATCATAATAAGCATATTTGATATTATAACATTTTCCCTATACATAATACTAGGAATCATTGTTGTCATTCTAAACATCAAATTAAGGAAAGCATCCTAACATGATACTAGGAATCATAATAACAACCTAGACATGATTTCTATATCATAATAACAATGCAAACAATTAAAGCACTTACTTGGATGCCTCGTATCTCTTTCTAATAACAAAATACACGCGTTAGTAACTTCAAGGAAAATAATAAAACAACAATTAAATTAAATAATTGAAAGAGAGATTTGGGACCAAACCCTCATAAATTAAAACCTTTCACGTCTAGGGCAAAGGCAACTTCGAACTTGGCTAGGTGTGTCTAGTGCTTGTGAATGCGGAATTTTGTATTTTGAGAAAAGCTAGTTTAAAAAAGAGAGAGAAAGAAAGTGATAAAGAATTTCTTGATGAGAGTTGGTGAATGAAAACGGAGTTTTTAGAAAGCTATTTATAGAGAAAATCAGCCAAAAAGATAGAAAATCGAAACAGAGTTCTGGCGCGCATAAAACTTGATTAGCGTCGACGCTGACAATTAGCGCTAGGCGCTGAAGGTTAGCGCCAGGCGCTAATAATCAGTTTCACACATTTTTGTTTTTATCATATCTTTTGATCCAGAAGTCCAAATAAGGCATATAATATGTCGTTGGAAAGATCTTGAAGTCTACTTTCCAACCCAATTAGAATCAGATTAAAATATTTTGTAGATAAAAATATATGGCTAAAATAGTGAAAGGGTGTTAGTTTTGGATAGAGTTTCATGTCTCATTCATATCTTTTTTCGTTATAGCTCGGATTTAATATTATAATATGTCATTGAAAAGATAATTTTAAGATCTATCCAACCATATAAAATTTGGATAAAGATTATGAGTCACGAAAATAAAATCTGAATATATTCCAATTCGTACAAAACAAGGATTCTCAAAAGGAGTAGTTTTATTCAATTTCAAACTCTTTAAAACATAATTATCAATCCTAACTCCATTAGGATTTAAAAGAACCTTCAAGAATATTCTAGAAGACTATAATCAATCCTAATAGCTTTAGGAATGATAATTAATAATAGGCCCTCCCCTAGATCATTGGGCTGCATATAAAAACCAAATCGGGCCTAGTTTAGTATTTTGGCTATAACTTCCTCATTATTCATCGGAATTGGGCTTATACTATATCGTTGGAAAGTTCTTTTCAACCCTTATCCAACTACACCATTATTGGACCCTTATCATGGATCAAACTAGACTGGAATGCTCGTTTTTCATAAATAAGGTAAGAAAATAAATATTTTCAAAAACAGAAAGAAGAGATATTTTAATAAAAACATCCTCATCACTAGACTTTTCACACTTTCGCTTTATTCGATAATCAAATGACGTGAAAGGTATTGATCACTGGGTTTGGTTTCTGGAAGACACAAATGGGTGTCTACACACTCCTGACATGATGTGAGGTGGTGAACCTTTTTCGACTTTGTTTTTACAAAATGCAGTTTTACTATTTTAAAAAGGATGATTTTTCGGAAGGAATTGACGATGGAAATCAAACCAAGAAACCTTACCACCATGTTCGAGCCAAAATGCTTTTCTTTTCTCCATGCAATATGGACAAGCCTTCTTACCGGCTGTGGTCCAACCAGATAACATACCATAAGCCGAGAAGTCACTAACGATCCATAGGATGGCTGCTCGAAGATTGAAATTCTGTTTTCTCGAAATATCGTAAGTATTTGCCCCAACTTCCCACAACTGTTTCAACTCGTGTATGAGCGGTTGCATGTAAACATCCAAGTTGCCCTTAGGGTTTTTAGGACCAGGAATGAGTAACGAAAGAAACATGAACTGTATTTTCATACACATTGACGGAGGCAAGTTATAAGGGGTCAAAATGACAGGCCAACAAGAATATTGTCCCCCAAACTGACCATGTGGAGCAAATCCATCCGTACATAGGCCAAGTCGAACATTACAAGGTTCAGAGGCAAACTCGGGAAAGCAACTATCAAGGTGTTTCCACGCTTCACTATCGCTAGGGTGTGCCATTGTGCCTTGAACTCGAGGATTTTTAGCATGCCATGTTATTTCCTCGGAAATGTTTTTAGTTGCAAAAAGCCTTTGCAACCTAGGTGTGATAGGGAAATAAAATAGAACATTCAAAGGCATTAAGCTACCTTTAGAAGTCTTCTTGTATCGGTCGCTGCCACACACCCTACATGTAGATAATTGAGCATCATCTTTCCAAAACAACATACATCCTTTCGGGCATGCATGAATCTTTTCATGGGGCAGCTCTAACCCCTTAACAATTTTCTTGACCTTATAGAATGTCTCGGCCATGTGGTTGTTGTTAGGAATCGCTTCATTAACCAAAGAAGCAAATCCATCAACACATCTGTGCGGCAAATTATACTTGCACTTTAGGCTAGTGATTCTAGAAGGCATCTCTAACACAGACAATGAACTCCCTTCGTATAACGGTTGTTCAGAAGCCCTTAACAAATCAAAAAATAGCTTGGCTTGTGCATTAGGCTCCTCCTCTAATGAAACAACCGCCTCTTCGGAATTCCCTTGATCTTGAGACTGACCAAATGCATCCAAAACCATTTCACGATATTCATTTGACTGCCTTCCATGAGTTCCTGGAAACCCTTCCCCATGATACATCCACTCATAGTAATTAGGTAAAAAACCACTGCGATACAAATGAAGTTTAACGTATCCGCATCCCAAAGACGTTTGTTTTTGCATTTAAAACGTGGACACCTAAATTCATTCGGGTTGCTACTCTCGGGATGATCTTCCACATATTTAACGAATTCATCTACCCCCTTCAAGAACTCAGGATTAATAGAATTCCCAACCTTCCTTTCGTACATCCAGCTACGTTCTTTTCGTTTCATGATTACAAGTTCTACACAACTAACACATATGCCATTAATCACATTAGTCAGAAAGCACAATATATATTCATTATAGATCAAAGTGTTATGGAAATGCAAATGAGAAGAGAAATGATTTCCAAGGGTCCTTATCACTCCAACCTAACCCATCCTTGGACGTTCAATCTCACTAGTGAATGTATGCCAGGATTTCAATTCTATGGAAAATCCGGCAGCATCTCCCTACAGTTCCCCAAGTACACGATATAAGCGATTAGAAACACCTATATATGTACCTAGAGAACATTGTAGAGAAATGACAAGCAAGGATCTTCCTTAGAATTAAAACAAAGGAATACATTCACCACCTAAGTGATAATAAACGTACAAGGACAGTCCCAACCAAGGACTATTCAAGACATACTCCTAATGTGTATGCCTTGAACGAGTATCTAGGTATATGATTATGCAAATGATTTATTTAAAAATATATATACTTAACTAACATACATAATATTAAACAAATATATCAAGATTAAACTAAACAAGAGAAACATATCATAACACCATACTATTAATATAAACCAAATCAAACCACACCAAAGTAAACTAATATATCATATTAAACTAAACCAAACCAAACTACCGTTTTATATATTAAATTAAACTAACATATTTATAAAAAAAACTAAACTAAATTAAGATACTTTATATTAAAATAAATTAAACTAAAACACATTATATTAACATAAACTTAACTAAACTACATTACGTTAAACAAAACTAAACCAAACTAACATTGTTTTTTTAAAGAGAAGGGAGCAATTAATTAATTATAAGAGATGACCAATGTGACTAAATTAACCAAACTAACCTACATACATACATTATAATTAAAACCCAACACACTGTCTAATAACCAAACTAACGTACATACATACATTATATTAGGGTTTGTAATGTAACTAACCTTTAGATCTGCACTTCTTTTTAACAATTAAGCCAACAAAATTGTACAAATCCTACAAAAAATTAAAAATAAATAAAATAATTAAGGGTTTATAATTAAACAAAATTAAATTGAAAAAAAAGGGGGGAGCAAAGGACAACTTACTGGAATTTTCAGCCGGAAGCAATGTAGGTGCTTCAGTCACGGCGAGGGGACGGAGGTGCGCAAAGGCTGCGTTGTGGTGGTTAAAGGTTAGCCGGTGGTGGTTTTTTTGATAATTAAAAAAAAAATCAAAACTTAGAGGGCAACACTTACCTAGACGCGGCAGTTGCGTCGCCGGAAACAACCACCGGCGTCGGGGGAACACTCGACAACTCTCTCTTCCTCCTTCTCTTTCTCTTTCTCGTTCTCTTTCTCCTCTCTCTTTCTTTCACCCTTCTTTCTCTCTTTCGTTCTCGGTGGTGGGTGTGCGTCGACGGCAGGCATCACTGTGCTTCGCCGGCAGGAGTTAACGCACCGCCGTCTACTTCTCTCTCCTTCTCTTTCTCTCTCTCCTTCTACTTCCGTCTTCCCCCCTTTTTTTTAGGTTAAGCCAAATGATTTAATTTTGGGTAATTTAAAAAATAACACATAAATTCCGACGAAAACAATTCCGTCGTAATAATAACCTTCCGACGGAATATTTCGTCGCAAATTCTTTACGACGGAATATTCCGTTGGAAGGTTATTATTACGACGGAATTTTTTTCCGTCGGAAAATTAACGACGGAAAAAGCATCGTAAATCATATTTTCCGTTGCTACATTGCGACGAAATGTACTCCGTCGAAAACTGTGAACTTTGCGACGGAAAAAGAGGTCTGTCGCAACAATTCCGTCGCTATTTAGCCTATTTCTAGTAGTGAAAAAAAAATGTTAAGCCATATAATGTATATATCTATTGGGCCGTGGTTATGTTACGAGCCCTAATCTCTCTAGGTTGTATATATACGTGTGCATACGCTAATACAAACACAACACTCAATTCTCGCTATTCTCTCTATCTTGACATGGTATCGGAGCCAAAATACTCTAAAAACCCTAAAATTCTACTCTAAATTTTTGAAAAAAAAAAAATCTTCTGAATTTCTATTCTAAATTGCTACTACTCTACATTGTCGAATTGCTACATTGCTATCTTGCTGACTTTCTGAAATTTTCTTCTGAATTATTCTTCTGAATTTCTACTATACATTGTCGACTTGCTACATTGCTATCAACAATGGTGAATGCTAAGTTACAACTATTTTGTACCCATTGCAATCGATCGGGTCGTGATTATGACGCTTGTCTTCTTGTCCATGGGCTACCTGAATGGTGGCTTGAAAAATATGGTCGTTCTTCTTCTCTGGCTACTACTCTACCTCGGGCTGCTGCTCCTTCTCCTTCTAGTCAATCTGCCGCCACTACCCCAATTTTGGGTGAGGTATTTGATAAGTATGATGTTGCTAATTTTTCTTCTAATCACTCTGCCGCAACTACCCCAATTTTGGGTGGAGTATTTGATAAGTATACTGTTGCTACTTCTCCTTCTAAGCAATCTGCCGCCACTACCCCAATTGTGGGTGGGGTATTTGAAGTTCCTACCGATCGTATTACCGGTGATTATTTTTCTCTATCTTGGATTATTGACACGGGGCCTCACATCATGTAACGGGTGACGAGTCTTCATTATTTGATACTCAATCTATTTTACCATGCCCCGTTGGTCTTCCCGATGGTGCTCAAGCCTTTGCAACAAAGGAGGGTCGTGTTTTCTTGGCGGATGGAATTATTCTTGAACACGTTCTATTTGCTGCAATTAAATTGCAATTTGATTTCGGTATCTAAGTTGATTGATGATTCTAATTGCTTTGTCCGATTCACTAATTCTCTTTGTGCTATACAGGATCAATCCTCGGGGAGCTTAATTGGAGGCGGTGAACGGATAGATGGACTATATTAATTCCGGCGTCTCCCAAAAGTATGTGCACTCACGGTCCGGAGATTTCTACATTTGAGTTGTGGCATCGTCGTTTGGGGCATCCGTCGGAGAAAATTGTCAAACTGCTTCCTGCTATTCGAGGTAGTACTAGTACTAAGTGTTTACATAAAGCTTGTGAAATCTGCCCTCTTGCTAAACAAACCCGAGATAGTTTTCCTGATAGCGATAGTTGTGCTAGTCGTATTCTTGAAATGATACATTGTGATTTGTGGGGAGCATATAACACGGCTTCTACTTGTGGCGCTCATTATTTTTTTACGATTGTTGATGATTTTTCACGTGGTGTTTGGGTTTATTTATTGAATGACATAACTGAAGTTTATTCTTCTTTTTGCTCTTTCTTTGTTATGGTTAAAAGTCAATTTGATGTCAATGTTAAATGTGTGCGGAGTGACAATGGCACATAATTTAAACCCATGATCCCATATTTTACTGAAAATGGCATTCTTTTCCAAACCTCTTGTGTTGGCACACCTCAACAAAATGGTCGGGTAGAGCGTAAACACCAACATATATTGAATGTGAGTAGTGCTTTGATGTTTCAAGGCGATTTGCCGATTACTTTTTGGGGTGAGTGTGTCCTTGGGGCGGTTTATTTGATTAGTCGTACTCCTTCTACTTTGCTAGCCAATAAAACTCCATATGAAATTCTCTTTGACAAATAACCCAATTTTGATGCTTTGAGGGTGTTTGGTTGTCTTTGTTTTGCTCATAACCAAAAATCTAAGGGTGACAAATTTGCTCCTAAGAGTCGTAAGTGTGTTTTTGTGGGTTACCCTCATGGCAAGAAGGGTTGGAAGGTGTATGACTTAGAGACGGGTGATATCTTTGTCTCACGTGATGTTAAGTTTCATGAAGATGAATTCCCGTTTATGCATAATGAAGAATCTAATGATCCTCATGTTGGTGTCGAAATGGTTGGGGGGGGGGTTGATGTTGATTTTTTGGATGATCTTAATCAAGTGCTCGAAATTGGAGAAGTTTCTACTGTGCACGGGTCTAATGAAAGCAGCCCGCAGCCCCCTTCACCATCTGCTACTGCTGTTGTACTTGTTTCTGCTGCTAGCTCCGGGACAGCAGCTGCCTTGGGGTCGGTTGCTGCTGGCAGCATGCTCCGCGGCTCACCTACGGCAGCCAACACAGACCGCAGCCACCCCGCGAATTCTTCTGCCTCTGCCACTGAAGGCAGTCCGCACTTGGCTGCCACGACCTCAAGCCTTGGGCCGTGGACAACGTCTTAAGCATCCTCCAAACTTGCACAAAGATTATGTCGCACATGCTATCTCTAGTCCATCTATCTCCTCTAGTTCATTGTCTACTCCATGCTCCTCAGGTACTCCCTATCCTTTAGCACATTTTGTGAATTGTGATAAATTTTCTTTGCGACACCGTGTTTTTATTGCAGTTGTGGATACTGTGGTAGAGCCCCGTAATTTCAAAGAGGCTATGAAAGATGAAGGGTGGAGAGAGGCGATGCAAAAAGAAATCTCTACTTTAGAAAATAATCACACTTGGGTAATGGAGAAATTACCTCCGGGCAAGAAGGCTCTTGGGTGTCGATGGGTTTACAAGGTTAAGCTCAATTCTGACGGCTCTATTGAGAGGTTGAAAGCTTGTCTTGTTATTTTTGGTAACCATCAGGTCGAGGGTATTGATTATAACGAGACGTTTGCTCCTGTTGCTAAAATGGTTACTGTTCGTGCATTTCTTGCTGTCGCTGCTGCGAAAAATTGGGAGTTGCACCAAATGGAGGTTTATATGACACCTCTGCCTGGTTTTCATGGTTCTAAGCCGGGTTTGGTGTGTCGTCTTCGAAATCTTTGTATGGTCTCCGGTAAGCACCTCGTTGTTGGTTCTCTAAGTTGGCCTCTTCTCTGAAAAGGTACGGTTTCATACAATCGTACTCTGATTATTCTCTTTTTACTCTGCAATCTAGGGCTATTCAGCTTAGTGTTCTGGTGTATGTTAATGATTTAATAGTATCTGGTAATTAATGATTCTGCTGCAATTTCATCATTCAAATCATATTTGAGTGACTGTTTCATATGAAAGATTTAGGTGTGTTGAAATATTTTCTTGGTATTGAGGTTGCACGTAGTCCGGAGGGCATATTTTTATGTCAACGGAAATATACTCTTGATATTATTGCGTAGTTTGGTTTGCTAAGGGCAAGTCATGCAGGTACTCCTATTGAGCAGAATTATACTCTGGCTAAATTAGAGTCTCCTCTTATTTCTGATCCTGAAATGTATCGTCGCCTTGTGGGTCATTTGATCTACTTATATTTCACTAGACCTGATTTGGCTTATGCGGTTCATATCTTGTCTCAATTTATGCAACAACCGCGTCAGGATCATTGGGAGGCCGTCCTTCGTACAGTGCGATACTTGAAAGGATGTCCAGGTCAGGGAATCCTTTTGAGCTCTGATTGTGATCTACATATTACAGGTTGGTGTGACTCGGATTGGGCTAGTTGTCCTTTGACGAGGCGATCTATTTCTGATTGGTTGGTGTTTCTTGGTGCTTCCCCTATATCTTGGAAGATTAAGAAGCAGGACACTGTGGCTAAGTCTTCTGCAGAGGCCGAATTTCGTTCTATGTCTAAAACCACTAATGAGTTGAAGTGGTTGAAGGCACTACTTCTTAGTTTAGGAGTCTCCCATCCCCACGCAATGAGTTTGTTTTGTGATAGTCAATCTGCATTGTATATTGCGCGGAATCGGTCTTTCATGAGCGTACTAAGCACATTGAGGTTGATTGTTATTATGTCCGTGATGCGATTCAGGATGGTATTATTATTCCGTCGTATGTGAAAACGACGGATCAACTTGCAGATATTTTCACTAAGGCATCGAACAAGCAACAATTCTTGTATTTACTTGGCAAGTTGGGCATTTGTAATTTGCATGCTCCAACTTGAGGGGGGGTGTTAAGCCATATAATGTATATATCTATTGGCCGTGGTTATGTTACGAGCCCTAATCTCTCTAGGTTGTATATATACGTGTGCATACGCTAATACAAATACAACACTCAATTCTCGCTATTCTCTCTATCTTGACAAAAAAAAACACTTACCATTATAATTAGAAGCTGAGAAAAATAAAAACCATAAAGTAATTAAGACAATAAACTTGAAAATCGAAGGGATATAATAAATGGAAGGCAGAAAAAACTTGAATCACCCAAAAAGAAGGGAAGAGAAAGTCTAAGTAGATGAAGAGAAGAGAGAAGTTCTAGTATGTGAAAGTGGGAAATGAGAATGAAGGAGCGAGAAATATGTTTAACTTGGATGGGTGAGTAAAACCTTCCGTTTCTTTCCGCCGCCATTCACTAAAATACTATACACCGGGTTTTATTAAATATTTGTGTACTTTTAAAATGAATTTAATATGATTTAAACTCCTATCTTATTACTTATAAGTAATGACATAAACATGTTGAATAATTTAAACTCCTATCTTATGACAACATTAAAAAATGATTCATACCAAAAAATAATACTATCTCCGTTTCTTTTTTTAGTTGACACGTATTCCTTTTTAGGAAGTTTTTTTTAGTTGTGTAAGGAATATTTCAAGCATTACCCCTAGCTTGTACCCCACTGTGATAATACACTAAAGTACGGTGGCGTCCAAAGGGAAAGAAGCTAGAGCAAAAGAGTCGCCAACAAGTTTTAGGAACTTGTAAACCGTTCACGAGGTGAAGGTTACACCCCTTAACGATCCAAGAGATCGTTAACTCCAATAGGTATGGAACCATGACTGGTAGTTCGGGGATGAAGGTACAAATTCAACCTAAAAGAGATTGAACCTGCCGTAATAATAGGCCTCTACTTTATTCTGATCGTATTCATGTGCGCTTTCTGACTAACATGCAATCAATGGGATGACCCTAAACCTGTTTATCTATGTTGGTTGAATATTAATGCACAAACAAATCTATTATTGGCGATCAGTTGAATTATAATCAAATTAACCCTAAACAAGATTATTAATTATCTTATTAAGCGTGATTACAAGTTTCAATTCCCTTTAAATTAAACATGCATAAAAAGGTGTGATCAAGCAATAACAATAAATATATATATCAACCAACATAATAATAATCAAAACAATAATCATAATAATAAAAATAATCATGTTAAAGCATAATAATAATAAGATCCTAGGCATGATACTAACAAGATTAATAACAAACCCTAGCATGTCACTAAACAATAAAGATCAAAGCTTTAACCCTAACATGATACTAACAATCATAAATATTAGGAAGAACATAGGAAACATCATACTTTTAATCATACTTGATATTAAAGTTACCCTAGACATGATACTAGGAATCATAATAACAACTTAAGCATAATTTCTACATAATAATATCAATTAAATCATTAAAGAACTTACTTGGATGCCTCGTACCTCTTTCTAATAACAAAATACACACGTTAGTAACTTTAAGGAAAATAATAAAATCAAAGAATTAAATTAAATAATTGAAATAGAGATTTGGGACCAAACCCTCAGAAATTAAACCTTTCACGTCTAGGGCAAAGACAACTTCGAACTTGGCTAGGTATGTCTAAGTCTTGCGAATGCGGAATTTTGTATTTTGAGAAAAGGCTAGTTTAGAAAAGAGAGAGAGAGTAATCAAGAATTTCTTGATGAGAGTTGATGAATGAAAACAGAGTTTTTAGGAGGCTATTTATAGAGAAAATCAGCCAAAAAAATAAAAAATCGAAACAGAGTTTTGACGCGTAAAACGAGGTTAGCGCCAGACGCTGACGTTAGCGCCAGGTGCCAAGCTTAGCGTCAGGCGCTAACTTAATTATTGACGCGTTTTCTGAAATCAAATAGAAATTGTCGTACAGGAGGATAAAATCGTATTTTCCTCAAAAAAATTCTTTTATTCTGATTAAAACTCTAAAAAGTCAACAAAAGTCAATTTATCAATGCTAATTGAATTAGGAATGATAAATCCATATTAGGCCCTCCTCTAGATCATTGGGCCGCATATAAGGCTCAAACCGGGCCCTGTTTAGTAATTAGGCCATAACTTTCTCAATATTCATCGGAATTGGGTTTATAATATATCGTCGAAAAGGTCTTTTCAAACCATATCCAACTACACTATTATTGGACCCATATCATGGACCAACCAAATTGGATTGGCTGTTTTCTTAAAAATAGATTTTCAAAAACAAAGAGAAGAGAAAAGAAATTAAAACTATCCGCAACACTAGACTTTTCACACTTTCACTTTATTCGATTATGATTCGACGTGAAAGGTACTCATCACTGGGTTTGGTTTTAGGGAGACACAAATGGGTGTCTACAAGTTGACACGTTTTATTTTGGGGTAAATTTTGTGTCTTGCATTTATAAGCTACCCCACTTGCTTTTTTCATGCTCTCTCACTCTCTCTCCTTAATATATGTACCTAAATCAAACGCGTCAACTAAATAGACACGGAGGAAGTAAAAGACAATAATAAATTACTCAAAACAAAATTCCCTAAATTAGGCCCAATTCAAATAGTTTGTTACTAAATTTGGCCCAATTTAAGAATAACCCAAATGAACTACTCTTTCCTTGCCTTGCTCCCATTACAAAAGACAACCCGTGTCCATTAGTTGGCTAGCATATTTCCTTCAAGGAAAACAATACAATTTTATTTTATTTTTTTTTTTTGAAAAAGAAAACAATACAAAGTTAATGTGTTGCAAACCTTTTTTTTTTTTTTTTTTGAAATAAAACTCTATTTAATTTTATCCATATCAAACCAAAAAAAGTTATAAACACAAGTAATAAATCTATGCAAAAAAAACATGTTACTAAATTGCAATTCATCAATTCATCTTACTTAGCTTTGATCCAAATTAATTTTTATTTTTCAAATCAAACTCATTACATACTTCGGGAAAAAAAAAGAAAAAAAGAAAAACCCCCCATATTACCGCAAACTTCCCTAGTTAATTTTAAAATGCGCAAACTTCCCTAGTTAATTTTAAAATTATGGACTCCGTATAAAATTTACAATGTTTGTTGCTTCATTTTGTTTTACAATTCGATTTATTGTATCTGTTTTTCATAATGTCAGAGGATGCAATAATAATACTATGTATATAATTCAGTTTATGATACAGTACATACTTTAATTCAATTATATGAACTTTGAAGTAAAAGGCAAGTAATTGATTATTGTAGAATCGTGGTCTCCTGGATCTAATTTGTGGGTAATAACATTGTCATGTATCATCTCGTGGATCTAATTGTGGGTAATAACATTTGTCATGTATCATTATAATTAATTTTGTCTGGTTGAAGAACATTGTTGATTGCTTTTTTGTCCCAAAACTAAATTAATTTAAAGGTGATATTTTTTATTTCTATCTTTAAAAAATCTATTCTTTGTTTGCTTTATTCTATCTTTAATGTTTTGTTATGCCTATTATATTTGGTACTACATATTTAGTGTATTTTATTTCCTTCTTTTACTAGGTATCTTACAGGATTTTTTAAATTTATTTTTCTTCCATTTTTAGTATTTTATATTATAATTTCCCGTAATTTTGTGAAATTTAAAATTATATTTTAACAATATGTGAATGTTTAATTTTGATTATTTATTCACATAATTTATTTTAGTATGAAAAAAGCAAATAAATTTAATGTTCGCTATATTTAACTAAAATAGTGATTGATGGTTTTAATTAAGTTTTTCTAACAAGGATTTTTTTTTTTGTTTTGTGATTGGATTTTAGCCTTGACAATTTAAACCATGGCAAAGAGAAAGAGAGATAATGATGTTTTGGTGAAGATGGATTATTGCCCTTACCTTGATACGGTAAACAGGCATAATTTAGATTTTGATTTCGAGAAGCATTGTTCCAAGTGTTTTAAAAAGGAGGATGTTTATGCTTGTTTGGTATGCGGCAAGTATTATCATGGAAAGCGTTACGACTCACATGCATTTGAACACAGCCGTAACTACAAACATCATGTTTTTCTTAATTTACAAACGGAGAAATTTTACTGTCTTCCCGATGGATATGAAATATTTGACTCGTCTCTAGATGATATTCGCCACGTTCTAAATCCAAGGTTTGTTTCTAATATATTGTCCGTATCAAATTAATAATACTCCCTCGTTCCACAATCATTTATGCATTTAAGTTTATTTTTAATTTTTTTTTATTGTGGAACAGAAGAAGTATTCAATGACCTATATATTTCAATGTGTATCTTTAACTTATATATTATAAGTTTTGTTTTGTTGGTGATTTATCTTTGATATTTTGTATTTGTAAAATCAGGTTTACTTCGGAACAGATTGAACTGCTAGATAAAAAGCAAGCTTTGGTCGAGAGCTCTTAATTGTTCTTTTTACCTCCCTGGATTGGTATATCCTTTAACTTCACCTAAATATTACTTCCTTAGTTTTTTTTACCCGCTACACTTTCGCTTTCACTTTCACTTCACATAACTATTACTTCTTTCAGTTTTTTATCCACTATAATTTTACCAATATAGTTCTTAAAAAAAAAGGAAGAAGTAATACTCTTCTTTCTGTCTTGTTAAATTTTCTAGTTCCTAAAGTGTTTTATGTAATAGTTTAAAAATATGCTGTTTTCAGGTTGGACTTAATAAGTTGAAGGAAGCTGATTTTGCCAACGTTGTGATTCAAGCACTTGTACGTGTTACACCTTTGAGGAACTTTTTCCTAGTGCCAGAGAATTACAAACACTGTAAATTTTCCCTAGTTCATCGTTTCGGAGAGCTCATTCGAAAAATTTGGCATCCAAAAAATTTTAAAAGACAGGTATATTATATATTAGCATATATAAATTTCAAAAAACTTTAGTAGATTTTGGTTATTTCAATTTTTGATTTATGATTACTCATCGTCACTTGGTAAATC